TATTGTTAAGCAGGAGCAACTTAAGTGAAAACAGAGGAATCATGCCTACCAGAGGAAGATGTGAATCACTCATGTACCTGCCTCCGTCTCATTGCTCACATTATTCCCCCTGACATAAAAGCCCTCCCTGCTTTTCTCTAATTATCTAAGTTGCAATTCCTCCACAAAGCCTTCCTGATAAGACCAGACCATAGTGATTTCTCCCCTCTTTGAAGCCATCACTCAGCGTGTCTTATGTGCAACTTCGTATTGTAATTGCCTTTATACGTCCCATCTTCCCAAGTAGTCTGCCTGCTCCTTTAGGGTTAGAATATTTTCTGTCTCGACAGAACACTAGAGTGGAAAGAACACGGAGTTTGAGTCCCAGATCTACTACATCCCAGCCGAGTGACTCTGGACACCTACGCAATGTCAGCTCTTGGAAACTCAGTTCACTCATCTGTAAAATGGACATAAAATCCACACTACCTGTACTTCTTAGAGCTGGTGTGAAAATCAAAGGAGATGGTATGTGCAAGTGAAAATGTCCTGTAACCCTAAAACATTATGTAAACATAAGCTATTGTTATCTCTAACAGTGTTTAGCTCAGACCCTCGCACACACTAAGCACTCAAGTGGTTAATAATCACCATGACCTTCACATAAATCACACAAATATAGCTTTTTAAAAAAATTTTTTTTGTTAGGCAATTGGGGTTAAGTGACTTGCCCAGGGTCACACAGCTAGTAAATGTCAAGTGTTTGGTCTGAGGCCAGATTTGAACTCAGGTGCTCCTGACTTCAGGACCGGTGCTCTATACGCTGCGCCACCTAGCCGCCCCTACACAAATACAGCTTTAAAAGGAATCAAGATTTTTAGTGACTAAAACTTCATTCAATTTTCACTAAATTTCACTTCAGATTCACTAATTTCACTTCAGATTTCACATCAAGTCCTAGTATGAATGTGTCCATAGCAACAGCAATAAATTTATATCCTGACACCTCAAGCAAAACACAGAGATGACTACTTACTTCTGTTAACTGAAGCAAAGAATGTCCCTTTAACAAAGAAGCTGCCTAAGCTTTTTTATGCTCATGGTCCAGACTCTGGACTCCAGAGTAACAAGCAATTAGCACTATTTTAATAAATGCCAGGGACATGAATAGACATAAAAAAGATGTCCCTAGCCAGAAATATTTGGATCAAATTACCTGTCTTAACAGGAATAAAGCCCCACCACTCCAACAGTTTGTATAATGAAGGTCAACTTTTCCAAAGAAATCAATGCCTATTTACCATAAGATTCATGAAACTAGACTATAGGTCAGATCTAGCTCCTTAAGGAAAGGGATTATTATTTCACTTTGGGTTCTGTAACCCTACTAATCTCAAACAGTCTCTCAAACTCAATAGGTGGTTAATAAATCCTTGTTGCATTAGAATGAATCTACATAAACAGGGAGGGATTTATGGTCCAATTTAATAGCAAAGATTTGAAAGTCAATTTAATTAAATAGACACACATTAAAAGCCTGTGATGTGAAGGCACTATTTCAGGAACTGGGGATATCAAAATGCAAAATCAAATAGTCCCTACCCACAATTACAATCTAAAGGGAGACAGGAACAGTTAGCACAATTTCAATCCTGGCTTCCTCTAGGAGCAATCAGCAGCTCAGAAATACAAGTGCAGGGAAGGCAGATGGTGGGAATGACCCAGTATTAGGGATTAGTAGGACAGGAAAAATGAAAGGATAAAAGGACAAGGAATGCAAGAGTGGAGGTCAATGCCTTGTTAAAATGAGGAAACTACAAAAATGAAGCAATGAAGCCAGTTGGAAGGCAGAAAAGGTTTGAGGGACCAGAGGTCAAGGTGAAGATGAGCAGCAGATTCAAGAGGTTCAGTGGGTCTGTGTGAGATTAGAAAGGCAGGAGACTATAAGCAGAGAAGGCAATTGTGGTGTTCAGGCTCTTAGAAGTGGCACAACTTCAAATAATGCTGAAAGTGATCAAGGAAGCTGAAGAAGATTATTAACATGAATCCTAAAGGCACTGATAATGATAGCAGGAGGTAGAGAACAAAGGAGGACTAAAAGTCAAGTACTAAGTCTCTGAGGAAGGCAAGCAAGTAGCTTCCAAGCCAGGAGCTGGCATCAACTGGGTAACATAATCAGACAGCAGGGTTTTGTTTCTGACTCTGGTACCTTGCACAATGCCTCATATTTCCACTGATACACTCCCCACACCAGAACCGTGATTTCATTGTAGGGAACTACAGATGTGGAATCTTCTTCCACAGATGGAAAGCAACAACTCTTGATATGTAACTTAAAGTCTTAGAAAGCTGCCTAGGGCCCTAAGAGATTAAATGACTTGCCGGTATTCACACAACTAATGTGAGTCAGAGACAGGACTGAAAGCCAAGCCTCCTTGACTCCAAAGCTGACTCTCCATCCAATACACTATGGTGCCTTACACAAAGAGGCATTTAATATATGGAATTAAAGTTGAATCATTAAGTAATTTTGGTCTGAAAATGACAATAAGAAACAAATAATATGCTGACATTTCCTTCTGGACCTTTGACTAAAGGGAACATTGGAAAAGGATTAACCAGCCGGGAGATGTGTTGTGTTCAGAAGAAACCAAGGTTTTAATTAGTGACAAGGTGGAAAAGATTGAGGATGGATGGGAATTTCTTAACAATTGAATATGGGAGAAAGGTACCTGGTATAGTGGGTGGGTAGTTGGCCTCAGAGTCAGGAAGACTAGCTGTGTGATATTGGGCACTTGCCCAAAGTACCTCTAAAACACTAAAAGTTTCAGAGCAGATGCCACTCTGCATTTATAGAGGGGAGATACCTCATAGTTACCTATACCAGTGAAATCGCAGGTCTGGTTCCGCCCCCCCCCCCCAAATGAGGGTTCCAGAGGATATAGTGAAAAATGTGGGCTGAGGAGAAGAGGAACAGGGGAGATGGGGGACTAACTTGGCCAGAGAAAGAAATGATACTATGTGAAGACGCAAGAGAAGAAAATAATTTTTGCCTAAGGAAGTAGCTAATATTTAATAATAACAGCTTGCATTTATACAGTAATTTAAGGTTTCCAAAACACAAAATATATATCTCACTGGGGACCTTACAACCCTGTGAGACAGATGCTGAAGTTCAGAGAGATTAAATGACTTGCCCAGAGTCACATAGCTACTAAGTATCTGAGGCAGCATTGAACTCAGGTCTTCCTTACTCCAGCTCCAGCACTCTTATCCACTGCATGACCTATCTGCCCTCTTAGTAGTTCGGAATGACAGAGATTATAGGAACAGTAATTTGGGATTTGCTAGCCATGGGTAAGAGGAAAGCCAACTAGGTAGCTTTTGAATAAATCAGTTCCATGGATCTAAAGAGAAAGTTGGTGTGATGTAAACTTCCCAGATCTCATCTCTCATGTGGATTTATCTCCCATATGGATCCCAACTACCGTATGAATCTCACAGACTTGATTGCAGTAGAAAGTTAGTATTTAATAGCACAGGAGTGGACTAGAAGTTCCCAAGCTAAAGGAAATTTTAAGGTGATGTGGAGTTGATTCAACCTTCCTTTCCTCTGTTATAACACAATCTGAAGAAGAGTGAATAAAGACAATGCCAATACAACAGGGTATCCAAAAGGGTTTGAGATAAGCTAATAGCTAAGTTTAGTCAAAATTAAATTGGTAAACCTAGTGTCAATGCAACCTCATGAAAATAAGTTGAGATAGATTTGTAGATATCCTCTTGCAAATACCTAAAAAGGCCTAACCTCTGAGTACATTGATATACTGAATGGTTCTGAAGTAAATCAATAATCCTTGAAATAGAAGAAAAGACCTCATGAGATAGTCAAGGAGACAATACTGAGGGAACAAAAAGGTGACAGGAAGAAGTAAGATGAGGACATAAACATCCTAGAGTGAAAGTGACTATGCCTCTGTTATCTTTGTTCATATTAAGTAGCCTAGAATCCTGAACCTTAGAGGTCTAAACAAATTTTTCAAAATCATTTCAGGAATGGGTGATTTCCTTGCAAAAGGCTACAAGTTTTAAGATCTCCTTCACTTAAATATTAGAGTTCCCACTTCAGAAAACAATATACTTGAGAAATTTCAGAGATCGAAATGTCAGATTTATTCTAAGAAAGTTTCCTTCATTTTTGGGGTCAAACAAACTAGATCAAACAATAACGGCATGAGTAGAAATCTAGACCTCAGACACTTACCAGCTATGTGACCCTGGGCAAATCACTTAACTTCTGTTTGCCTCAGTTTTCTCATCTGTAAAATAGGGATAATAATAGCACCTATCTCCCAGGGTTGTTCTGCGCAAAAATGAGATGATATTTTTAAAAGTGCTTACCACATTGCCTGGCACATAGTAGGTACTATATAAATGTTATCAGTAGTAATGATAGTAGTAGTAGTAGTAGTAGTAGTAGTAGTAGTAGTAGTAGTAATAATGACATGGGTCAAATAATCCAATGATCCAATAATTAAATAACCCAACTCTCCCTAAAAGAACTCTACAAATTAATATGACCCAACTGACTAGGAAACAGCAGAAATGTTGGGGTTTTAGTCTTAGTCTTCCTGCCTTACTTTGTGACCTTGGAAAAAAATCACTTGGTATCTCATGTTTTAGAGACCTTTGAAAAGATTAAGCATAAAATGATGACACACAGTTTAGAGACCTGCTTCTCAAAACGATCCACTGGTCTCATGGAAACCTAATTCAGATCAAAACCTCAAAGGTATATACACTACATGCTACAGAAAATTTATCAACAAAAGTCCAGAGCTCTCAAAAAGAACGTGTCTTTATCCCACTTCTGGAAACTAAAAGGGATCTAGGAACAAGACTTTTATCTAGACTGACCACAGAAGTTAAAACTGAAGTTGGGTAATACGAAAGAGATGAAAACAACAAGCTTAGCAGACTCCATAATCTGTATTTATCCACCACTGTTAGCTATTACTTACTCTTGGCTTGCCACCTCCTCGTCTTCTGAGGATGATGCTGTTTCCTCCAGGTCCCGGGCCATCACGACTGGCATTTCCTTTAGGGTTTTTCATGCAGTCAGCAGACGGGGGCCTCAGAGACCTTTCTTTGCTGGCTCACTGAATCAAACAATCTGGGTGGCACAGTTTCCTAAAATAATTAACAATAAAAATACCCTCAGACAACAAAAAGAAAGCCAGTTTCTCTGCAAAAGGGTATAGCGATCTATTTGTTAAACATGTAAAATATCCTACGTGCTATGCCACATATGTAGGCAACATGGACCCAGACCTCTAGAAGCTTAAATTATAGAGCAATGACGAGTTTCCTATATATTACAAAAATGAAAAGTGATCTCAAAAGTAGTATATTATGATACACATATTTTAAAAGTTATTTAGTTTGAGCTTCTCTTTCTTTTGCTCTATAATAGAGTTAACATGTACTAGAGAAAGGACATGGGTGTACAGAGTTTGGGTAGTGTTAACTGTCCAAATATGACAGAACTGCTGCAGGTAGGACCCAACCTACCTGCAAAACAAAGCTAATCAGAACTCAAATACACACTTAACATTTCCAGCATTATTCCTCTGGAATATTTCTATGGCAAGCACTCTGACAACACAATTACCCCATTATGCCAGTAAAATAAATTCAACAGGTATAGTGTTGGGGGGAAAAAAAAATCCAGGATCAAGACTTAATCATAAGGCTGAAAAAATCATTACATGTCATACATTACATTTCAACCTGGAAGGTACCTTAGTAAATAATTCAACCCCTCCTATTTTTATAGACGAGGGAACAGAGACCTGGAAAAGTTAAGTCGGTTGCCATATTTCACATGGGAGGTAAATGAAAGTCAGAATTCAAATACAATTCTTCCGATTCCAACTCTACAGCTCTTCCTATTCCCCACGCTGCCATATCAAATATATTTTAAAACTGTCCTTCTCTGCTAAACCCACAGGTGTTGATCTGGATAGCAAAGAAATTTTACCTTAAGTCTACTTATTTCAAAATCAAATTTTCCAACAAGATTTTAATGAGACTGGCAAGACAGCTATATTATGTGACAAAATACAAATATTGTAATCTGGCCCAAAGAATAATTTCCTAAATTATTCATTCTGGAAACTCCACATGAGACCTTGTCACTCTTTAAACAATCTTTCTCCCCATACTATAAATAAATTCCTGATAGAGTTTTATGTCCTCATAGAATCTCCCAGAAAAAGATATGTAGAATCAAAGAATATTAAAGATAGAATAGACTTGGGAGATCATCTAGGCCAAGCTTCTCATTTCAAAGAGGTGGCAAATGAGGCCCAGCGAAGTAATTTACTCAAAGTCATGCAGCAAGTTTGTGGTAAAACAGAGACTAGAACCTATGTCCCCAGCTCTTTCAACTGAACCATGCTGAATGCTGAACCTAATGTAATAGAAAGTGTTGGAATAGGAGTGAGACAACTTGAATTAATAATAATAACAATTAACATTTATATAAGACTCTGCTAAGCACAACCATTATTTTATTTGATCCTTATAACCACCCTGGGAGGCAGGTGCTATTTTTATCCCCATTTTGCAGATGAGGAAACTGAGGCAAACAGAATTTAAGTGTTTTGCCCAAGGTCACAGCTAATAAGTGTCTGCAGCTGAATTTGAACTCAAGTCTTCCTGACTCCAAGCCCAGCACTCTACCCACTGTGCCAACTAGCTAGAATATGAGTTCAAGCTCTGATATTTACTAGCAAAATGAACTCCAACATAAGTTTTTATTATGTGACAGGCATTGTGCTAAGAGCTGGGGATATGAAAAAAGGCAAAAGACAGTCCTTGCCCTCAAGGAGTTGACAGTCTAATGGGGAAGACAACTTGCAAAGAACTATGTACAAGCAAGATACATACAAGATAAATTGGGAGTCGTTTCAGAGGGAATGCACTAAGATTAAAGAAGACTGGGAAAGGCTTCTTGCCAAAGACGGGACTCTGGCAGAGCCCTGAAGGAAGCTAGCAGGCAGAGATGAGGAGAGAATTTCAGGCAGGTGGGGGAGGGGGGCGGGGGTGGGGTGGGGATTGGAAGGGGTTGAGTGTGAATGCCCAAATTAATTGAAGAACCGTAGGGGTGTGGGAGGCAGTGTCACTGGATAGCCTATTATATGAAAGGGACTAAACTATAAGCAGACTGGAAAGGTGAAAAGGGGTCAGGTTATGAGGACTTTAAAGCCAAACTTTTATACTTTTATATTTGATCCTGGAGGTACTAGGGAGCCACTGAAGTTTCCTAAATGAGGTTGGGGAGGGAGTGATATGGTCAGACGAGCTTAGGAAGGTAAATCTGACAGCTCAATGAAAGACAGACTGCATCGGGAGACAGATTTGGGGCAGGGAAGCAAGCAGCAGCCTACTACTGCCATAATCCAGGTGTGAAGTGATGAGAGCCTGCCCCGAGATGGGGCTGCAGTATTCGGGGGGGGGGGAGGGAGGGGGGAAGTACCAGAGATGGAGGACTTGACAACTAAGACTGCACAGCGGGGGAAGCAGTGAGGGGTCAAGGATGACAAAAGCCACACTCGACATTAAAAGGAAAGTTAGGGAAAGGGGAGGTCATAGAAAGCCCACGGGCCAGTCAACCTCTCCGAGCCTCAGCTCGTCTGTAAGCGGGGAGTCCTCTGCACCAGCTACTAGACAGGGCTGTGATAAACGTGAGATGCGGAGCTCCCTTTCCTCGCCGGGTCCCCCTGCCGACTCCACGAGAGTTTCATGACGACCCTTGGCGTCGAAACTGAGGTCCTGGAGTGACCAGCTGCGAAGCTCTCTCGTTTGGAAGTCCTCCGTTCCCACCCCACCCCCGCCCCGGGACCCAAGGAGGGCCTACAACTGATTTGACACAAGGAAAGTAAAAGACGGTGGCCGCTACTATCCTCCGACGCGCCCGGAAACCAGCCACTAGTCTCAAGGGCTTTCCGGAGGCTTTCCATAGCCCAGCCCGGAGGGAAAGCACAACTCCCCGCAAGGTGGTCCCCAAGGGCGCCGAGTAGCCCCGCGCCGGCAAGTACCTGTCTCATCTTCCCATAGTTCGGGTCAGGCAGGCAGGGACTGCGCCGGGCGCTTCTTCCCTCCTCCTTCCCCCTTTCCGGGCTCACCACCGCCACAGACGGCTGCTTCCCCCGTTACTACAACAACCAACAAGCAACCGCCCGTCCCAATCCACTGCGCAAGCGCAGGAGGCCCAGCTCCTACGCATCGCGCAGCCTCCAGCCTCCGTCGCGAAAGAATCTCGTCATCGCCTTCGAGCTCACGTATACGTGCCCGCCCTTGTCTGTCTAGGAGAGTGGCTCGGGCCTCTGACGCAGTCTGAAGGGGAGTGTCCCAACCCTCGATTCTTCCGCCACTCCCCAAAGGAGGGTTGATCACGTGAGCTCGCGTCAGGGGAGAGGCTTAGACAAAGCTCACAGTTGATTGGCCCTGCAGGCGTTCACTCCCCATCTCCTGCGCGGAGGAATGTCATTTTTAACCAATCAAACTAAGGGTTGATACAAAGTGACCCAATCCGAGATCTGATTCGAGAGGTGGGCGGGTCCACGAAAGGGTCTCAGGTGTACACGGGTATAGATGTAAAATTGAGGGTTGCGCTGGTGCTCCAGGCTCCGTTTGTCAGGTATGGGGAATGCGGGTCCTGGGAGGGAGGAGACGTCCGGAGGTGGGGGAGAAATCTGACCGAGGCGCTAGTGAAGGGGGAGAGGTAGGGATGAGGTTGCGAGAGGTCAAGGGGGAAGGGCTAAGGAGAGGATGAGAGATGAGGGAGGGAAGGACTGGGGAGACGGGGTGGGGAGGGGGTGTTGAAGAAGGGGTCAGAGCAGCATCTGAGAAAGGATGTGGCGCCCTCCAGGAGGCTCTTTGGTCAAAGGATGGAGCAGAGGGTTTGGCAGTGGGGAAGAGCAGGTGGATGTCTGGTTTTCTACTCCCCACTCTCACCGCCTTTCTGTGGTTTTTCTTCCCCCACCCCCCGACTCCCCACCTTTTTGGGGGTCTTCTTCCTCCCCCACTTTGTGGCTCTTCTCCCCCTCCTTCACCTGACTCCTTTCGCTCCCCACCTCCGTCTTGCTCCCCCCGCACACTTTGCTCCTCTCGCTCCCCCTCTCCTTTCACCTCACTCCTCTCGCTTTTCCCCTCCTCTTTACTTTATTGGGTTCTTTCCCCCCCACCTTCCCAGCTTTCTAAATTGTTTTTCAGCTAACAGGATCTTCCTTTGCAGTCAAACTCCTGATAAAGTAGGATGCTCCAAACATACCCTAAAGGACGATCATAGGATTGTAGATTTAGAGCCGAAAGGTACTTAAAGAAGGAAGCTATCTAGCTGTGTGCTAGGCACTAAGGATATAAAGACACAATGGAAACAGTCCCTACTGTCAATGAGACACGTATGTATATACATGTATACATAAGTATATACATAAAGATATATAAATGCAAGATAGTTTAAGGGAAAAAGGTATCCATTGGAGGGGAGCTGGACAACTTTCATGTAGAAGGTAGTACTTGAGGTCTATCTCCTCCTTCCTTTTCCTTTAGAGATTCATGTTATTTGGGGTACCTGCATGGGCTCTTGCAGACTTTACCTTTTATTATTACCTTGGTTAACTAACACAAAGGCTTTCAATCTGAGACTCCAACTGGAGAACTCCACATCCAAATATCATAAAAGAATTTTCCCCGGGTTGCATTTTAGTTAAATCAAGTTGATTTGATTTAAATTGTTACCCAGGATCACTCAATTGAAAGTTGGTGGCTGGTTTGTTTTTGGGGTTTTTTTTTAAAGTATAGTTTTATAAGATATAACCTTAGATTCTTCAACTTGAGTATCGATGTCTATTTCACAGGTAGAGAAACTTCATTAAAATATTACCAAACAGGGGCATTCCACTTCAGTTTTCTTCTGATGCCTCATTGTGATGTGAAGGACATCTTGTGTTCTTGAAGTCTATGGCAACAGATTGCATCTTTGACAGGTCCTACCAAGCTGGAAAAGCTTCAAGTATGGACCAGGTGATAGACATTATATATCTTTCATCTAAGGACCAGCATAGCTAAAGACACTAACAACCAGGTTGACCACAGGATGATGGATTTTTCAGCCACAGCAACTCTCAAGGACTGTCTCCTGGGTTTTAGAAGGGATATCGTTTTCATTCGTTGGAGGGAGTGCCCACATCCATGAAATAAGGAAATCTTAAATTATTGACAAGAAAGGTCTCTTCCAGCCCTATGATTCCCTCTCTAACTATTAAAATCAGTGCCTGTGTGACATTAGAGAAGCCTCTAACTTCCCTGGGCTCAATTTCTACATCTATAAAATGTGTGTTTAGTATTAAATCAGTGGTTCTCAAATTCTTTTTGATCATATCACAGTATTATTATTTGCCATAAGGAATCTCAGGGCACTAAATATCTTAAATTTGCAACAAAGAAGGGTTCCTGAGCAGCAGCGTTTCCAGACCAATGGACTTTGGGGTTCTTCTGTCTCTCCTTCCCTTTCCCTCTCCCCCTTTATCCTCTTCTTTAATTCCCCAGGAGTCACTGTGGAGATAGCAGCTTTGTACCTCCCAGGGTTAGAGCTGGTATGGTGATCTTGCCCATACCATGCTAGGAAAAAGCAAACAGCAAAAACTGTAGCTAGGAACAGGGACCAGGGATTTCATAGCATACCTTTTAGTAACCCCTGGATTACCTGATTTCTGGGGTTCCTTCTAGCTCTAAGTGCCATGATAACCCCTGAGATAATGCCCTGTATTTAAGACTTCTGAAATGTTCTGCTGACTTGGATAGAGCTTACCTAATCCGATTCAGCAAGCATTTATCAAATATCTACATTGTTTAATACACTAGATGCTAAGAATACAAAGAAAATAACAAATAGTCCCTGCCCTGAAGGAGCTTACATTCTACTAGGGGAATACAAGATGTATGCAGATAAGTATAATTCAAGGTAAGAAGTGAAGGGGGAAAAGAAACAGATGAGACTGTTCTCTAGAAAAATTGGAGGAGAGAGGGAGTAATCAAAGCTGAAGTTGGAATCAGGAAATACTTAATGGAATTGGTAGTAACTGCTGAATCTTGAAGAAAGAAAAATTTAGAAAAGTGGAGATGAAAAGAGAGTGCTTTTGAGGCATGGCAGATAACTTGTGTGCATACATAGAGGTGGCAAATGACTAACTTTTCCTAAATTCAACTAGTCTATTTGGCTGGAACATAAATTGAGTAAATGGAAAAAATGTGAAATAAAGATGAAGAGGTATATTTGAAACACATTTTAGAGGACCTTCAATGCCAGATTAAGGCATGTGTTTTATCCTAAAGGCTACAGAGAGTCATGAAAGGTTTTTGAGCATAGGAATATCATGGTCACACCTTTGTCTTGGTAAGATTATTTTGGCAACTATATGAAAGTCACACTTGAGAAAGGAGAAACTACAGGTGGGACATCAGTTCAGAGGCCTTTGCCATAATCTAGGAAAGATGAATTTCTGAAGTGATATGACAGCAAAGAGAAGGGGAGGTGGTGCAGGTAGAATTGAGGTCTCAGCAACTGGTCAGATATAATAGTAAAAGGGCAGGGTCAAAAATGACTATGAAGTATGTATAGTTAATATATTGCTTGCTTTCTCAAGGAGTAGGGGAGGGGCAAGAGAGACTGAGAGAATTAGGAACTCAAATTTTTTTTAAAAAATTAAATTTTTTCACATGCAATTTGGAAATATTTAAGGAAATAATTTTTAAATATATATATACATGTACATACATACATACATATATATATACATATATATATATGTTAAATGACTGTGAAATTACAAACCTTGATGACTGGATGACTTGAAGGATGGTGGTATCCTCAACAGAAATAGGAAAGTTTACAGGAGTAGAGAGCTGGGAGAGAGAGGTATGTGAAAAAATATATTCTGTTTTGGACCTGCTGAGTTTGAATACTAAAGGGCATCTAGGAGATGACAAGACAGTCTAGGAGAAACATTAGGACTGGATGTGTATGTATGAGTCATATGCCTAGAGGTGATAAATAAATAGACACTCTGGCAAGTAGGGAAGGCCATTAAGAGAGAGAAGATAGAGGAAAAGAATATTCAGGATGGAGCCTTGGAGTGTACTCACACTAAGGGATAGAAAATGGATAGTGATCCAGCAAAGGAGACTGAGAAGTAGCATTGAGATGGGGGGAAAGAGAGATAGAGAAGAGTAGTATCATGAAAGCCGAGGGAGGAAAGAATATCAAAAGGTGGGAGTCTGGTAAAAAAAAAAGTTCTGTGCAGTTTCAGTAGAGTGCTTTGGATGGGAGTCAGATTTCAAAGTACCAAGAAGTAAATGGACAGTGAAGAAGTTGAAGCAGTCAGTATTCTCTCACTAGAAATTTATAGATATATAAACTAGTATATAAATTATATCAAAGGAAGAGAAATAGTGCAGTAGCTTGAGGGTACAGTAGAAACAGGTAAAATATTTTTTTAAGAATGAAGGAGGCCTGATTATATTTGTAGGCAGCAGGGAAAGAGGCAATAAATGGGGAGAAGTTAAATATGAGAGTGATGGGGGAATAATTGAAGTTATCTTCCCAGATGAGTGGGATCAAGGCACAAGCAGAGCAGTTAGGCTACCAAGTAGAAGGGTCACCTCATCCTGACTGGAGCAAAGGATATGTGAAGTTATAGAAGGTTTTTGAGGTATGGACTAGGGAAGAAAAAGGACCTCATGGGGGCTCCCCCACTTTTTTTTTTTTAACAAAGTGAGTTCATCTGCTTAGCAAGGATTGTAGGGGTAATGTTGAGAGCTTTGGGGAAAAGGATAAGTTTCGGAATACCAACTGCAATGAGTGTAATAATCAATCCACAAAAGGCTAAAAGGATTGCCATTCAGCAGTGAGGCCCCAGTTGAAATTATATAATGTGAATTTGTAGTGCACTCAACATAGTTTTGTTTTGTGACTTCCCCTAGCAGTATTCAGCAGTAGTAAGGGGATTTACTAAAAGACTTCACAATAAGCAATAGACTAGGTAGGTAGATATAAGCATCAACAACAACAAAAAAAGTTTGATAGAGGATTGTACTGTAACCAATAAAACAAGGAGTCTGTGTGATTGAGATTATGGGAAACTTTTACCCACTTGGAATCAGCTTGGAACAAGAATATAGGAAGGCAGTTCAAGCCAAGAGAAAGTAGAGTTAGAACAGCTTCATATAGAAGAAGGCCCTGGACCCATGAGTACCTATAGTAGTCTGCCTGTCTACAGAGAAGCTGCAGAATATGGTGGGGAAAGCACTAGATTAGAGATCAGAAAACCTGTGTCGAGTTTCAGATATAATGAATTCTACTCACAAGCTATGTGACTTTAGGCAAGTCAGTTAATCTCTCTGAGCCTCCATTTCCACATCTGTAAAATGGGGATAATAGCTGTTCGGCGTACCTCAGTTATTGCAAAAACCAATGAGATAATAAATGTGAAAATAACAGGAAAATTAAAGAACAAACGCATACGGGGTGTGTGTATAAAAAGTAAAGTATTTTTCTCAATGATTGGCATGCTGGTATGACTGAAATGAGACCAGTTTTCATAAAATATGCTATGTACCCTTTTCTCATCTCCACTTTTCCTTATTTTAAAACTACCAGTAGTATGTTCCTTTGGACATTGCTTAGTCCATGGCAGTAAGGACTTAAGAAATTATTGAGCCCTAGTTTTTAGGATAAACATTAAGGAGACTTCTGGTTTTGTGATAACAGCCGTAAGGATAATAAGCTATAAAGGTGACACTGTGGGTGAGCACAGATAAGTGTGTAAAAGAACACTGGGAAGGACAGCATTGATCTGGAATGTATGAATACAGTTTGAAAGGTTTACTTCTCCAAAAATGGAAGGATTGTCCCTACTTTTAAGTTAACCCATCTGTCCTTCATGCCCTAAAGTTAGTTCTGTCATAGACACCTGTGATCACAGAAGCTACAGGGTAGCACTTAGCAGAAGCATGAGGTTTGCAGTGAAAAGAATGATTTAGCATCAGAAGATATAAGTTCTAGCCTCAGATCTTGACCTTGGGCAAGGCACTGAGCCTCTCTATGCTTCTCTTTGTTCATTGTGTGAAAGGAGGAGGTTAGATAAAATGACCTTTAAGCTCCCTTGCAGCTCTAGACTGATGATCCCAAAGCCCTTTTCTCTAGAGTGTCACCATCTGCTTGTCAGGGTTGTTGTAGAGATATCTGCATGGGGCAAGAGGTTAGAATCAATGAACTATAGGGGTCTATGATTCAATGATTATATTGGAATTCATATCAGGATCCAGAGGAGAACAAAAGCCTTTCCCCTCTTCCATTTCCACTGGCCAGCTAATCTCTGGTCTCTTCAGTGTGTGGAAAGCTGAAGGTAACTACCCCTTCAGTACTAGCTTAGGGATGTAGTCATCCTCAAAGAACTGAAGCAGCTGAGTGATAGAACTCCCACCTCTTTTTCATTTCTAGCAGGCTTGCTTTAGGTTTTCTGTCTTGAGCTGCTGCATGATAACCTAACCTAAGAATAGACAGGCATAAGCCTTCTATTTTGGGATAAATTTCTAGGTGTTACCTGTTACATTGTTGTTGAAAAGTATTAATAGGTTCTGTCTAGCCACTCCCATGCCTGGTTCTCAAGGGAGAGTAGAAAAATTAGCAGCTCCTATGTAGACATTCATAGAATAACCAGGAGCCAAAGTACAAGCCCTACTTAACACCTTATGGGTTTTTTCCCAAATATAAAACATTTGAAGAGAAATCCTCTTTACTGGTAAGAATCAAGAAAGTAACTAACTGGCTAGGGCTGAATTCATTCCCCAATAACTGATTCCATGTTGTCTTGTCATCTTGACACCCTAATCTTTGTCCCTAGTATAGCTCCTGACAGAGAAGCCCCCCTAGTGCTGAAGTGAGAAATGAGCCGCTTCTTGAACGTGCTACGCAGCTGGTTGGTTATAGTGTCCATTATAGCCATGGGGAACACACTGCAGAGCTTCCGAGACCACACCTTCCTCTATGAAAAGCTGTACACCGGCAAGCCAGACCTTGGTAGGTATCCTGGAGATCATATTCTCTCCAGGAATGGGGGATGATGATGGTCCAGTGCTCAATAAGTTCAGTTTTTTAATAGTTTTTAATTTTTTTGGTCATTTTGAACTTGACAAACTAGTGAATATGAACATTTACATAGTCAAAGAATAAAAAAAGAAAATTATACATGAAACTTCCATTATGTATAGCTAGGGTTTTTTAAAATTTTGGCTCATAAGGTTTCCTACTTGTCTGTCTTTCCCTCTGAACTTCCTTCTCTTCTGTATGCTTTTTGTTTGTTTTTATTTATTTATTTTTGGCCAGGCAACGGGGTTAAGTGACTTGCCCAAGGTCACGCAGCTAGTGAATATCGTGTGTCTGAGGCCGGATTTGAACTCAGGTCCTCCTGACTCCAGGGCCAGTGCTCTATCCACTGTGCCATCTAGCTGCCCCCTCTTCAGTATGCTTTTTAAATGCTTTACTGATGCTCTTAGTTTTTTTTTCTACTTCATTGTCATTACAGCCTCACCTAATAGTCACCTTCCAAAAGATTAAAAAACAAAAAACCTCCCTTGTAATCAATAAACATAGTCAAACAAAACAAATCTACACATTGGCTGTGACCAGAAATGTGTGGCAATGAGATCTCTTTCTCCAGAGAGAACCCTGGATAGAAAGCTGAATAGGACCAAATGTGGCTATAGCAGCAGATTGGCACCTCTTTAGGCAGTTAGGTGACACAGTGGATAGAGTGCCTGGCCTGAAGTCAGGAAGACTCATCTTAGTTAGTTAAAATCTGCCCTTGGAGACTTACTAGCACTGTCACCCTGGGTAAGTAACTTCACCCTATCTCCCTCAGTTTCCTGATTTGTGAAATGAGCTGGAGAAGGAAATGGCAAACATTCCAGTATCTCTGCTAAGAAAATCCCAAATGGGGTCACGGAGAGTCAGACATGACTGAAATGACTCAACAGTATTAACAACAAATGCACCTCTTTCCCTTGTGAGATCCCAGTGAAATGTTGCTCTCATTTCTTATATCATTTTTAATAGCTTTTCTTAGGATCTTATAACTTTTTATGAAATCAAAAGGCAGTGGCTCATTGGGTTTTCCCTATGATACTAATGGAGAATCTATGCTATTGCTATGTAACCTATGGTCACAGCAAAATCAGGGCCAGTTCTCCAGGGGAAAAAATTCAAATTGCCATCCCTTGACTAGATCCCCTAGAAGAATCTTGTTTCCTGTGGGGGAAGTTAGAGATAGTCATTCCTTTTTCCAGAGCCTCACTGTCTTGAATGCTGTAAGATTTCTTATTTCTCTGATGTGATATGTACTATATAGAGCTAGCATAGAGAATTAAGATGGCTTTGGCTTCAGCAAAAATCTCCTAGCTATAAATGTGACAATTCTGTGTCATTTTTATAGCTAACCTAGACAGAAATTTCATCCTATTGTCTGTAACATCTGAGAGGAGAATGAACTGGTATAGGCTGTGCCTGAATTTAAACAAAGCCAGTACAAAATATGCAGGAGAAAAGTTATCTGGAGAAATGAGTGGGATTGGCCTTTTTAAAAAAGTTTTACCAAAAGAGTTTATAATCCCAAGTGTATATTTACTATCCCTCAATTACCAGCCAATCCATGCCAAATTTTTCAGGCTTTATAATACTTTAACCATGGCTCCAGTGATATAATTTCCTGGACAGACCATTTGCCTTGCCCTTAGCTATTCCAAGAATTCCCATATAAGGGCAAACCAGTTTTTCTAATCCCATTTGAGAGCAATACAGAGAAGCTAGAAAAGACCTAGCCTTAAGTATCTCTAATAGAAAGGAGAAGAACCCTCAGACAGTTGCCAGAGGCAATACATCTTCAACAAAACTGTAAGCATCTATAGGTTGCCCATAGATGGAAAAGTCGTTCCTATTTAGGTGGCAAAGTGGATAGAACACTGGAATTGGAGTCAGAAAGACCTTAACAGGCACTTACTAGCTTCATGAACCTGGGCAAGTCACTTGACCACTGTCTACTTCAGTTTCCTTCTGTGTACAATAGGGATAATTAGAGCATTTATGTCACAGTGTTGTGAGGATCAAATGAAATAATATTTGTAAAGTGCTTTGCAAACCTTAAAGCATTCAATAAATGCTAGCTCTTATTTTTAGTAATAATTAACTGGACCACAAATCTGAGAGAGAAAAAGGAGCCTTTTAGCTGTTGCCAAGGGCAGTAAACCATAAGAAGCCTCAGACTGACCAGAAATGGTGAGGTGGTCCCCATTAGCTCTTAACAGTAAATAAGAAAGAAGGGGGATTCAATTGAAATAGAATTTGTGGCATTGCTAAACAAATTTTATTCTCTCATCTGTCATCTCCCAACTAGATTATGTTAATTTGCTCTTCTTAGGAATACTCTGGACAATCCCCTACAAATGTCAGCTGATGCATAATCTGATTAGAATTAGTGGCGTATATTAATCTAGTATTTACACTACCTAGAAAAATTACTTTTTTCTGTCTTACTGTTATAGCAAGTGAAATTGACTGGAGTATGGCTTCTAGTTTTTAATTGAGGGAGTGTGGTCCCCTCAAACTAACAGCTTAATTAATGTCTTAATAACATTTTCAGCTCCTCACAGAGTGAGACATCATGGGGGTAGGGAGAGACTTAGATGTGAGGCCTCTTTGATTTAGGAATGTGTAACTCCTGGATTTCGGAATCCAAGGCACACTGGTTACATAGCAATAATAGCTTTTCCATTTGTCAGCCTCTTGTGACATGGGACACTAGGAAAGTAACTTCGCTTCCATAGTGGTGATATATGCCCAGTCTTTTCACAGATGAAACTTAATTATGACCTGTATTTTGGAAACTATGGTAGGAGTAGCACCTATTTATATAGACTGAGCTACTTTATCTGTTTTATCCTTTGTCATTAGTAAAGTCATTTTTATAAAATTTTATGAACCCTGAGAGTCTCTGCATTTTGAGCTGAAACCTGAATTGTTGGACTGGCCTGAATTAGGCCTGGCCCGGAATATTTGGTATAGTCAGCAGAATCTAATTGTATCTAAAATAGTTGGTTCATAAGGAGTGGAGGATATATGAAGAGAGGACATAAATCTAGTCCATGAAAAGCAACTCTTTGGAAAAAAAAAGTAATCTCCTCTCTTGCTGTCCGCCACTGGAGAATGGGTTTCAAAGGAAATTAGTCTTTGTGGGACCAAGTATACAGAACTACCCATTTTGGCCACCTTAAAAAAGGAAAAAAGCAATCCGCCCCATCCAGGGTCTGTAACCAGTTCAGGTGAATTTGCACAAGCAAATCCTCTGTAAGATATAATAATGAAAGTAAACTGTCGTCTCAGATTCTTAAAATCCGGCCCACTTGCGTTAGTGACACAAATGCTCAGATTCCTTAAGAGTCTGGCCAGTATAGTGGATCTTTAATAAATCTTGTCTTTGCCTGAAAAAAAAAAAGAAAAAGAGAAAGGAAAGAAAGAAAACTGTCCTTGTGCATTGGGGCAGAGTTGGATGAGCTTTTATGATCTTTGGCGTCTATACCTTTAAGGAAAAAGAGCAGCTTATGGATCTAGTAACATTCATAACGTCATTCAAAGCAAGTGATCCAGCTTTTCTAAAGCCATTAATAAGAGCCAAGGGATAATTGATTCTGCTATATTTTTATTTTCCCTTTCAGGCTCCTTAAGCATCCATCAAGCTAACCCTACAGAGTGATTGGGAGCTTCCTCTTTATTCTACTGACTTGACTCCCCCTATACCCCTAACAGCCCCTGTGGCCACAGGATACCAGAATCTTGCATCTGACATTCCAGTTACCTGAGACTGTTTCTTTTCCACTGTCCTTGCCCCACTTTAACAATGACTTGAACCATGAGTTCATTGCAAACAACCTCTGCCAAATATTCTGGAATAGGTCTAACTTAGTACAGTCTAATGATTCAGGATGGAGTTAAGAATACAATGAGATACTCATGGTCCATAAAATGCAATAAAAATGACTTCATTAATAACAAAGGACACAATACAGTAATACATGTAAAAGGCTGCTTCTTCTGGCCCGACGTTTACTATAGCAATAGGCCATGCTAAGTCAGAAAGGCATTCCACAGGGCATTGGGAATTTCATACCAAGTCGCCATAAACTAGGCCTTTTATAGGTCTTTTGGCAAGAAATCCAAATTAATGATGATCCTAAGAACAACCTGCCCTGCCCCTTGTCATGAAACCAGGCCAACCTACATGAAACAAGTGATACATTTATCATAGAGGCAATGCCAAAAGTGAGATAGAAAAGCCAACCATCTTATGCAGCACTTTATGAGGGTACACAAGAGATTCTTTGATTCCCACTAGGGTTCTCAATTACCTTGCCCAAAGTGCAGTGTTAGAGTATACCACAAGTTGATAAGACTCATACTTGAATGAACATAACTTTGTGCACAACCTATCTCTCCCCTAGCTATTGGAAGCTAATTTCATTTAGGCTTACCTCAGAGGATAGAGGTACAGATTCAGTAAGGAACCCATAAATTTATCTCTTATGAAGGCCAGCTATGAGCATGTGCTTCCTTCTAGAGTTTCTGGAATCTTTCTTGAGACCATCTTGAAACAGGCCTGGTCTTAATTCCTATATGTTCTCAGGTACTAGACAAGATCTCTAGGAACAGCTCCGGGTTTAATGAAATTCCTAAGCCTATTCTAGTCCTAAGCTTCATGATGATGCCAGACCTAGAATGAGTTCCAGGGATAGAAAGAATGAGATAGGATTAATGTGACAGTTGCCTTGATGTATTTTATACCATATAGGTTTTCCCCCTTCTCTGTTCTCTCTCTATCCTGGCCTCTTCTGTAGGCTCTTATCTCTATTTCCTTAATGTTGCCATTCCCAAAGGTTCTATCTAAGACACTCTTTTCTCTCAAAGAAAAGAGTTAACTCTATGATGATTCCCTAAGATATATCTTTCACTCCTGACCTTTCTATTTTCAGATG